TTCTCGTAGCGCGCAGGAACTCATGAAACGAGTGGAACTATTCCAAGATTCCCGGTAACTCGTCCGCTGAATTGGACGTCATCATAGCCCACAATATGATGACAAAATTTTCATATAATAATTAAACAAAATCAGAAAATGGGCCAAAATAACTGTTCTTCCTTTTTGGGATCGACCAGCTAAACGAACTACTTCGGACGTTTGGGAAATCTCAGTCGAATGTCTGCAAGGAACGTACACAAATCTTGTACTCAACCGCTCTCAAAGGCGCTGTTGGAAATTCAAGCACAGCGGGTGAGCTGGGCCGGTTAGAAGAGATCTGCCCCGAGCAACTGTTGTCTGTATCAAGCACATGGCTAGGATGCACCCAAACTAATCGGCGTCGCAATTATAGAGTCGATCAAGTAGCGTTTTTGTCGTGAGTCATTGGGACAGCTTGCTTCCATACACGACGTATGTATGAAACTGTGCAGAGGTTGTACGTTTAAACGGAGATATTGACTGTGTTAAATTCGGGCTCTGTCCAGACGGTAATTTTCCATTGCCAAAAATATCATGAAACACATGACGGCTCATCGAGCTCAGCGTAAATCGATCAAACAATGATAGCTGAAGCGTATATCCACTCGTTTATGAACCTGATGCGCAGGTTGTATTAAACTTTTGACTGAACGACTGCCGTCAACTTGCAGTCCTATGGTTCGAACCCATTGCATCAAATCGTAGGTTCCAAGTTGGATGCTGTTTCAGTTCTTGACTCAGATTCGAGAGTGCTCGACTTTCGATTCATCAGATGCAGTTGTTTTTTCATTGTTGACCACTGAAAGAGGTAGAAAAATATTTCGAATATAATTAAATGATTAATGACACATTACGTTCACATTGTCAGTGCATCGATGCGGTACATCACTGACACAGTGGCTAACAACTCTGTGTAGAAACGGGCACACTGAAGCATCTGACATCCGCAAACGATGACTCAATAAAACACGTGAATAATGTGACTGAATACCCAAATATAATTTGGTAGCTGAGCATGAACTAAGTGTCCCCATATTGAAAAA